TTTACCACATAAAGCAAAAATCTTTACCCTCCAGGGGCATGGCTTTCCTCTAATGTATTGCTTAACATTTAGATTCCCTTTGAATGGGACTATTTGTTCATCAATACAAAACTCCGATTCAAGGTCTAGTTCCTGACATTTAGATTTAAGAGCGTCATATAATGGTCTAACCTTCCAAAAACGATCTCTATTATTCGGGTCTCTTTCTAAGTTTTACACTATGTTATAAGTATGATAAATCATAATATTTAGACCTAATTTATTAATAATAATAATAATAATAATAAATAGTCTTTATTGTAATCCATAAGTATTACAAAAGGCGAAGTTGAAGCATTGCTTTTCCAAAAAAAAGAGCTACAATAAATTCAATTACAAAAAAAAAGAAAACAGTCTATCTTAAAGTTTACAATTAAACCGCTTACATCCAACAAGCACCAACCAAAAAAAAAATAAAAAAATAGATATGTAATATAATGTACTTATCAAAAACGTGGCTTATTATCAGTCTTTTAGCTTCCAATCTGAACTTTTCAGGCGGGGCACTTTTTAAATTGATAGGGACATCATTGTAGAGAACTGCTATGTTATAGCTAAATGACCTTTCAAAAAGGGTCGTTTTATGCTTAGGCAGGTGTTAACAAGAATTTATGCCGGAGATCTAGATTGTGCGCCTCAAATCTAAATTTTATTTTTTTTGGTACAAGTATTCAGGTTGTTTTTTAAAGATGATTTTATTATAAAGGACTAGACTATGTTATCTAGCCACTTAATTTCTTTTCAGTTTTGCGCTAATGCCTGTATCGTATTTTCTCAACCCAGATATCATTTGCACACAATAACTTTGAATATACTGTATTCGCTTTTGGTCACGTGACAGTAAGCATGAACTGTAGAGCACGTCACAAAACGTGAAATGTGACAGAACAAGGCTGTCACAAAGCATTTTCTTCATGTTACTGTTCAGCAGGTGTTTACTCCGATATATTAATTTTAAATTATTGAACGCCTTCTTAATACAATTGTCAATATGCTCTGTAAACCTTAAGCGAACATCCATGAATAACCCTAGGTTTTTTGCCACATGAGTACATTTCAACACTTCATTCTCCAGGCTTATTTTGACAAAATTTTCATGTCTATCTCTGCATTGGGACCGTCAAAAAGTAGGAGTTGGCATTTTTTGATTTAGTTCAGGGTGTGCCTTAGAAATATTACAGAGGAGAGCCAAATCAGAGGATAATTTCTCATTTACTACTAAAATTTCGGAAGGAGGGAAGGACAGGTACAATTGTGTGTCATCAGCATATAGATGAATAGAAGCATATTTTAAATTGCAGGTGAGCTGAGACGTGTATAGGGTAAATAGCAATGGCCCAAGTATGGAACCTTGAGGCACACCGCTTGTAACGCATTTAGAGGTAGATTGTTGTCCTTGGATTTTTACTGCTTCACTTCTTCCAGTGAGATAACTTTTATATTATATAACTAAATTAGAAAATAACGGATGTATAATTCTATTGCATTGATGTTTCTTATATAAAAGTTATTAAGGTTAAGTGTTTATTACAAATAATAAAAAACAAGAACAAGTAACTAAAACTAAAAAATTATAGGTAATTCTCTAAAATAAAAAAAAAATAACTATTTTTTTAAATGTTATAAAAAAAGAAAGTTTTTGAATACAAAAGGTAAGATATTACTAGCCACTTTATAGACAAACACTAATTTTATATTAGACCAAATTTATTATATGACTACACGAAAAAATAACATATGTGTAATTCTATTGCATTGATGTTTCTTATAAAAAAGTTATTAAGGCTAAGTGTTTATTACAAATAATAAAAAACAAGAATAAGTAACTAAAACTAAAAAATTATAGGTAATTCCCTAAAATAAAAAAACAATTTTTTTAAATGGTATAAAAAAAAGAAAGCTTTTGAATACAAAAGGTGAGATATTACTAGCCACTTTATAGATAAACAATAATTTTATATTAGGAAAATTTTTTAACCAAGTTTTCATTAACATTTAAAAAAATAAGCGTTCTGGCTTTATTGGCTTTTGGGCGATTTCTGCGATATGTTATCAATTCCCCAGCTTTTGAAAACAATCGTTCGCAAGGTACCGATGTTGCTAACGCACAAAATTTCTCACAAAAAACTTCACTTAAGACCGGATAATGGTATGTATTTATGATTAAACCACCACTCACACTGATTTTCATTTTGTGGCAGCAAATCGTCCTCTAGGTAACGTTGAACCTCAATAATTGCTTGAGAAGTTGATGTCGCTTTTGGCTTGGTATTTTTCGAAATAGTCTTTAAAACTTCCCCATACGGACAACTCTTCATCTGAAATCGGTATCAATATTGCTAGGTATTTCGGCACCTGTGGTACTTTCCGGGCTGAGGTTGCTTTACGAGTCCTAATACATTTTTTTTTATATTATCTGCTAATTTCTCATTGGAAAAAGCCAACATCTTAAATCTAGGATCTAGAAAAGTACAAATGGCAAGTGTTATTTTGCTCTACATTTGAAAATCTTTCTTCGATGCCAAATTTTAATTTTAAAACAACATGCGCCACATCCGGATGGCAGTCCTTATTACTTAAATCAGTGTTTCTCAATCTTTTGTAGAGTGAGGAACCCTAGAGTGCACTTTTTTTTTCTAGGGAACCCCTACCCTATATTCTTAAATATAAGACATAGTGCATGTTTGGTTTTGTGTCAATATATCGATATTAATACTACTTATTGAGCTTCTAAATTAAGAGTAAATAAAAAAATGTAAGAATTAAGTACATAATATATTAATAACTCAGAAACAGTAAAACACTTAAATATTCATTACAAATATTTTTATGAGCTTAATGCGAAGGATGGGCCTGTTTGTTTGATACAAGTTTGTCGATATCGGGTTCAATGTTTGAAAGTTGTATCCGCATATCTGCTTCAGGATTAAGTTTACTTCTTAAGTCGAGGA